TTGTTGCTGCTGACTGGGATCATCCATTTAATGAAAATGCTTCTTTTTGTCATTACTGTCTAAATTCCCACTACAAAATAAAACAGCAGCAACAGCAAAAAACGAACAAACAACAAACCTCAATAAGGAAAATTCAAGGGTCACAGATTAAAAGCCCTGTTATCTTTTATCTTGTCTCAAGAACATTTGAGAACACAGTCCAGAATTAAAGTCAGATATATGTGGTCCCTAAAGAGACAACGGGTTTAAACAATTTTAGTTCAGACTTTCGTAATCAAAGAAACACTGTATGTGTCATTGACTATTTAAAAAATAATAGTTTTCAAGTGTCAGAAACATGAAGAAATGGGTATAAACTGGCATGAGAGGGGTGCTGATTGTATCTAGCCCAGTGAGTAGAGTTTAAACCCAAAATGGCAGTTCTTATGCTGAAACTGTCCTGCATAGCATCTGTTACCTGTCCCCCAGCCCGCTTCCCAGTGTTGGGCCCTGTGGAACTCTCTGTTTTTCTGTCCCATTCACACTTTTATAACCTGTTCCTCTTCCCCAACCTGTGTGTCTCTGCCCATGCAACTCCCTGGTCTAGAATGCTTGCCCTTCCGTTCCCACCTCACCAACAGTCCTCCAAATGAAGCAGCATAGGGATAAATAAATTATTTCCCTTTCTTCTGGGATCAAACTTGGCCATCGCTGATCTTTCCCATCACAGGCTTGGGAAGCGAACCTTGCCAAATTTGGGCTCATGCTACATCACAGCCATTGGCCAGGAGCTCCTGGAGGATAGTAACTGCACACACCGAATAGGCACCGAAGTGATACATTAAAAAAAAAAATCAATCAAAAGGAGAATAAACTCTTCTCCTCTGGAACTATTAAAAAACAGAACAGCTCTTTATCAACCTGGAAAGATCATCACTGAGGGTGAGAACATGGACTAGTCAGAGAACTTGAATTAACTTCAGATAACTCAGGGGAGTTCTAGTCATCTGATCCAACAGCCAAAAAATAACAAATTAACAAACAAATGCCATTATCACTTTAACAATTCCTGTACTGACTGATCTTGGCCATATAATACAAGCACTATGTACAAGTAAAGGTATCAAGCAGCACTGCTATCATTCGATTTTAGTGAAGGAATTTAATGGAAAACGACTATATCTAATTCTAAACTTAGTAATATTGAATTATTTCCTAGAAGATTATAAAGAATTTTTTTCTGGTCATTCAGTCAACAGCTGTTTATTGCCTCCTATTTGTCAGGCATAATCCCAAGGAGCTGGAGATACAGCAGGGAGCAGAACATCACCCTTGTCCTTATGTCACTCATTTTCTGATTGGAAGAAATAGATAATAAATACACACACACGTATCCGGTGGTGGTAAGTGCTACATACGAGGAAAAAGAAAACAGGAGAGAGGGCATAAGTGATTATGGCAGTAAAGAGAGTGAGATGCCTTTTGTTTTTGTATATATTTATATTTATACGTATTTATATTCAGGAAGGCCCCGCTGATAAGGGACATCTGCTAGGGAGCTGAAGGTAGGGGGGCGTAAGTCTCACAGCATCTGGTCGAGGCCATTCTTAACAGAGTTTCCTGTTAAGGATGCCTGGGAACGCAAAGTCCCTGAGACAGGGGCCTGCTGGGGGTGTTCGAGAGAGAGGCAGGGGACCGGTATGGCTGTAGCTGAGCATGCGAGGGAGGAAGGATGGGGAGCCGAGCCTCAGGGAGATGGCAAGGAGGAAGACAGAACTCCTGGTGGGTGGCCGAGCAGTGCTCCGAATGAGCCAGGAAACCACTGGCGCTTTTAAGCAAAGGAATGACACAATTGTTAATAAGACCACTTTGGCTGCTATGTTAAAGACGGTCTGTAAAGAAACAGGGTAGAACCACAGAGACCAATCAGGAGCTATTCCAGAACAATTTAGGAGAGAGGATGTGGCTGGGGTCGGGTGGTGGAGGTGATTAAAAGTGGATGGATTCTGACATTTTGAAGTGAAGAGCCAAAAGGTTTTACTGGTAGATTAAAAGCAACATGTGAAAAAGATGGGCATCAAGGATGACCTCAAGATTTCTGGCCAAGCAGCTGGAAGGGATGACAGAAAACTACGGGGATGTGTGCTTCTTAAGAGGTAAGTGGTAAAGCAGGGGTCTGGAACACATCAGACCTGAGATACTCATTAGACACCCCAGCAGAGACTGGTGGGGGTTAAGTCCGAAGGATACCCACATCTGGAATGAACTGGGGCATCATCAGCACAGAGACAATATCTGAAGTCAGGAGACCAGATGAGACTACCTACAAAAGTGAGCACAGACAGGAACAGAAGAGATCAGAGGCCACAGCCCTGGAGCCTACGAGAGAGGCTGAGGAGGCGAGGAGGAGCCAGCACAGAAGACTGAAAAAGAACTGTTGGTGCCGCTCTGGGCTAGTGGAAGGCTAGAAACAGTGCACCCTCCAGACACAGCATCATGCTGCAGGCTCCTGTCTTGCCCCCTGCAAACAAGGACAAGCGCAGAAATGCTAAGCAAAATCACATATCCAGCCATCATTAGTTTAAAGGAGTAAAAGTTCGTTTTAAAAAATAATGAGACCCAATCTCAGTAATCAATAAATCAGAAACACAACGAACAAATCCATCAACTTGACCAAAAATTTAAATTCTAACAGTATTAGTATAAAGAGGTGAGGAAATGGAAAGTCTCTTCTGGAGAACAATGTAAAATTATAAAGCACCATTTTCTAGGTATTGACATATAAAGTGGCACTGTTTATGCGACTTTAAAATACAAACATAAAATCACGCTCTACTCACAGATATATACACATATGTTAAATGAACTGAAAGGAAAACCCGCAATGCAGAGAGAGTGCCTCTGAGAGGGAGAGGAGAATGGCAAGGAGTGGGGAGTAAGGGAAGCTGCCCCTTAGCTGCAATACCTCACTGAGCTGGTTTTCAAAAATATATTGCATTTATGAAAAGAACTTGAAGCAAATATAAGAAAATATTTATAATCAACCCTGCTGTGAATACATGAGTACACACAATAAAATTCTTTGTATCTTTTTGTATTTAAAAAAATCTCCAAATGTTTTAAAAGCACAGAAAAGCACAATAAAACAGCTGATCATTTGTTTAAAACAACAATTGTTTACTATATTTATACCTACAGTGCAAACCCATAATAAAGCAAAAGGAATGAATTCTGCTGGTGAAGCAAAACAGAATGTTAGGTCTCTAGCACAGCATGACACAGCACTTGGCAAAACTCCACCTATATGTTCTACTTCAACATTATTTCATAAACACTGTAAAAAAATAGTTTTTAAAAAAATATACTGAAAGGAAAAAGGTAAAACTACATTGTTTATCAGAAGTTCTAATCTGAATAGGGAATTAGGACATCAACTCTGAGTAATAATCTAAGACCGACTTCAAATGCTTTTGGAATTAGAAAAAAATACAACAATGAATAAATACATACGTAGGTCAATCAGCAAATGTAAACAATCCACGATAATTAACAGAAACTATAATTCTCCTATGCAAATTTGAGATAAAAGTACAACCTTCCCTTAAAAATTTAGAGAACTCTATAGACACATTAGTTAATTTTTCTAAGATTCATCTTCTTGAAGAAGACATACGAGTGTACTATAATTATACCAATACCTTGTCCTTTTCTACACGGTGGGTAATAAATAGCCTTGCTGAAACTCTTACACATTTTTCCTAGCTTTTTACAACGGAATTGCTCTGTACCACTCAAGATGTGAGTCATATCTCTTGTATATTTAGAAGTAAATTCAGGCTGATTCATTTCATGTGTTACAGGGATTAAATGCATTTGAATTTTTACCTATATATTCAGTGATGTCCTCAACACTTTCTCTCTGGAAATTTTCTCTAGACCAAACTAATATATGTCAAGAAAAATATAGCAAGCAGGTAAATGTTTAATTTAGGGCATTTTAAAAAGCAATAGGATACTTTTTCAAAATTTTTTTTCTTTTATCAATAAATTCTTGGGTTAAAAACAAATTTTACAAAAAGATATTTCTATTCTCTGATGAGTTAGAACAGATGAACAGATTTATTCTTCCTCAAAATTCGTCAGAGATAAATAATTAAATTTGTTAACACTGTTTAAAAAAACAGCTATGTAACTTTTTCGGAGTAATAAACACTTAGGAGAAGTAAACAAATGTTTTAGTCCACAGTTACGGAGCAGGTGCACAGCGCAAGGCACTGCACTAAGTGCTGCGGGTGAGTACATGTTCTGTGCTCACTGGCTCTGCTCATACTGAATCATCGCGGTGGGAGCTCAGGTGAGTGCGTCAATAATCACAGAACAAGGGAGAGGGGGATTAAATGCTTTCAGGGAGGAAATTCTAAAATACTAGAGGAGTCCAAGAAAAAGAATTGTTTCCTGCAAGAGGTGTGGAAAAGGAAAATCAGAGAAGGCTTCATGACAGCAGTGGACTTGGCTAGATTTGACGGAAAGCGAGATTTTGACCAGGGCACTGGGAGCCACATTTGTGTGGGGAGTGAGGGCTGGGGTTCTAAGGGAGGGGTGTAAAGGTGAAGAGCAATCAGTGACACGTCAGCAGGAAATTCAAGCATATGGCTAGGTGAAACAGAGAAATAAGAAGGGTACAGAAGTAAGTAAGCAGCAGATTACAAACGATTTTGATCAAGGTCAAGTGTTCACAGTTTATTTTCTAGACAAATGGGAAGTAATGGGAAACTGAGCAGAGAAGAGGTATGATTAGACGCATGCTTCAGAAAGATTAACATTGTTGGGGATAGATGGATAGGAAGGTGGGCAATCCAGACATGGGAAAACTAATTAGGAGTCTACTGCATAGTGTAAATAAGAGGTAATGAAAACAGGAACTAGGCAGTTATCAGTGGGAATGGAAAGGGTATGGATGCAAAAAAACTGTACACACATTATAAATAGCATTTATGAAAAAATATGGTATAAAGCCTTACCTGATTCTTCTGTATCCTGTTCATCTATTAAACCTACTGAGACGCCTAAATCCAAACATTTCTTGCTATGCGCCTTGGACTTCATGTGTTTTGTCAGATTTCCTTAAGGGAAAAGAATGTTTATTAAGCTTATATAGTATTATTTTGCTATTGCATTTGTAAACACTGGCAAATTTCATGCCTATTCAAGCAAAAGTACGGATTGTGGTCATACAATTCCAATCACTAAAATTTGGACAAAAGAAAATGCGGTATCTCTATGCTATAATACCTTGTTATTTATTATCTATAATTTCTTTTTAAAATTACCTCCTCTACTTTGACAATATCTCCTTTACTTTATGTTTTCGATTCTCTAGTCCTTATTTATTTCTTGGGACTTTTTTTTTATACATAAAGTCCTATTCAGACTACTCTGTAGTTCTCGGAGTGTGAATTCTCCACTCGTTATGTCTGCTGACTCTTTCTCATAGTACTTTGTTCCTTTGCATGCTTTTCACTTTTGTTAAGTTTATCCTCAGCAAGATTGCTTTCCATGGAGTTCTAAGTCCCCTGGGTTGCAGAAACATCTCTATGCAGCAGTTTTCCAATTGCTTCTGCCTGGGACCTTAACAGTTTCATTGGTTTCAGAAAACTGATTCTGGACCAGTTTTTTGTTTGTTTGTTTTTGCATGTTATAGATAGAGGGTTTTGCTTTTAAACAGATAGGGTTTTTCCCACATGGCCCAAAGTCACTGGACAGGAGGTCCAGGCTTATTTCAGGAGCCTCAGAGGCTATCTCAGGACAGGTACACCTATAGGCATATATCTGGCATTGATTCCCTTTAAGGCCTTTTAATTTTTTGTTGTTGTTAATATCTGCTCATATTGGTAGCTTTGAGTTTCTTATTTCTGGTACCTTGGAATTCACGTTTTAAAGTTTCAAGCTTGACTATCTATGAAAAACTATTTTGGGTCATTGTAACTTCATAAACAGTGTTTCTGGAACAAGAAAAAGAATATCCTGTATTAATTCCACTTCACATATAAAGTATAAGTCTCAAAATAGTCCCAGTAAAAGTGTTTCCTCTGGCAGCTGTTGTATCGACCTCTTTAAGTATGACCATGCTGAGAACCACCAGGCACACCTGCCTCAAGTGAACACTGAATCCAGTGGGGACAGCTCAGATTCTTCTGAAGATAACAAGCATCTACACCGGACAAGGCCGCACACAAAAACACTGCCAACAGGGGCAAGTCATCTTTTTTTGAGAAACAAAAACAACTCTAAATATTGAATTTCATGGGCAGGGGTAAACTAGTATTTGAGAATAAGCCTTTCGAAGAGCTCAAAATTTCTGAATCATTGGTTCAAATTTCAGGCTTGCAGTGGCTGAAGCACATGGAAAATAGCTATATTTATTCAATTTCTTGATGAATGGACTAAGTCTGTGCAACTGGTCATTCCTGTACAAGATGATTCTTGCACTACATAGTACCTTTTTGTCTGAGCCAACCACACAGGACCCCAGAGCTTAGTACTTCAGGAGGTCAGGCTTAAGAGGCTGTGTAGACCAGATGATGGCTAAGATCCATCAAACCCTGACTTCCGTGATTCCGGGGATAACACCTGGATTAACACTTGGCTATCTCTGATATTTACCTTAAATATACTGAAAAAAATATGAAGCAAGTATAGCAAAACCTTCGCTATTATTAAAAGATTACGAGCACAATGGTGTTCATTATACAGATCTCTACTTTATGCGAGAGCTTCACATTAAGAAGTTATAAAAATGATTTAGATATTTTACTATGGTTGACATTTCCACTTGTAAGTCAAAATGTTTTCCGTATATTAATACTAACAATATTACAAACCAAATTATAAGGTCCACTAAAAGTTCTCTTTTTTTTTTTTTTTTTTTTTTTGAGGTAGAGTCTTGCTCTGTCTCCCCCCTAGGCTGGAGTGCAGTGGTACGATCTTGGCTCACTACAACTTCCACCTCCGGGGTTCAAACAATTCTCCTGCCTCAGCCTCCTGAGTAGCTGGGATTACAGGCGCCTGCCACTGTGTCCAGCTAATTTTTGTATTTTAGTAGAGACAGGGTTTCACCGTGTTGCCCAGGCTGGTCTCAGACTCCTGAGCTCAGGCAATCCACTCACCTTGGTCTCTTAAAGTGCTAGGATTATAGGCATGAGCTACCACGCCCAGCCCTCTTTTGAAATGTTTTTGCTTCTTAAATAGAGGTTATTGCAGGTTATTTACTTTTTAAAAAGTTAATGTATAATTGTAACTAGACAAATCTGGAAATACAAGCTTTTAGTAAGCATATTTTCTCATAACTTCAACTATTACTTATTATTAATCAACTTCCTAAATAATGTAAAATAAACAAAAATCTGCATTTCAATGTACAAAATATTGAAAGTATGCCCATACTGAAATGCAGATATCTCCTAGCAATTCTGTAAACCTTGTGTATTACTTTAATAAATAAATTTTCTGATAGATTTAATAAACATTTCTCTAAATCCTCTGGAAAGCATGAGAGGTTTTGTTTCTGGATTCCTATAGCTACATACAGTCTAGCTTTCTTTGATATAAATAAGACTCAATCTTGCAGAGATACAAGCTGTCTACATATTTTCTGTTGACTGACCTTTAAAGCAGAACCACGAAAACAAGTCAATTAAAATTATTTTGAAAATGTACTCAGAAAATAAACTCAGAGGGCAAATAATGAATTATGGATTTGTAAGCATTATCACCAGAAGCATCAATTTTTAGCTCTACAGAGTATTCTTCTAATAGCGTTTTGCTGTTTTGGCATGTCGTATTTATATAGCATGCCACCACATCACTATTTCCTTCTGTTAGTAACCAGATGCTAAGTGGATTCCTACTGGCTAGGATATCAAGTAAAGCAGAGAAGGTGAAAATTTACAGCCTAATTGAACAAAAGGTCTACTATTATTTAACTACCTTTAAAATGTGCTGTGGAATCTGTTATACACAGATTCATAACAGGTAGACTTCAAAAAGGAAACTGACCATAAAAATAAGAAGTGTTATGCCAAGAATAGGGAAATACTGAATTTCTAATATTTTCTTCACCAGTCTCCTTAGCAAGGATAGCCTCCTTCAAATAAATATTTATCATATAATTCCACATGACGTCTTACAAAACAAAAAATTTAATGCAAATTCAGATACATAGCATATCAGTGATATGTAAGACATGGAAAGTGCTAAGAGGTAATACTCGCTCTGCAGGGGTCCTTATGACTCTCGACCATTTAGTTAACATTATCTAAAATAACTGAGTTATTTCACTAAGATTAATATCTTGTGACTTGTATTTTTCCTTGCCAAGAAATCACTGTGGTTTCATTTGGTTTACCATGCATCCAGGTTGTCCTTCCTTTCTTGCTCTTATTTCATAAACCTAATTTTTAAAATACTGATTCCTTTTACTCTATCTATTGAAAAATACCCATTTCCTATTATATCTTGATCTTCCTGTATTTGATAACATCATTTTGTACATGATAATCTTTTATTAGTAATATTAGCTTTTTAAATATGCTTCTTGTCTCATAAAGGAAGTTAATAGGTGTTTCCTAATCATCAAAGCAAACCAAGTGAAAAAGCAATAAATTCAGTTAAAAGACCAAAGTACTGTACCCTATCAGAGTCCTCCCTCAGGACCAGGAAGCAAAGTAATCCTTAAACCCCCCCTCCAACTACCGAGGAAGGTTCTACATCACAATCAAAGAACTGTATCATGAGTATCCCTCCCACCTCTCTCACTTCTTGAAACTTTTTGAAATATTCAAAACCACCTGAAGAATATTTTGTTTTTCCATCATTCTTGTTTCAGACATGAATGGCACTTAAAGAGAACTAATTTGAAGCATGTAGTTGTTATAACTCTCTTTAAATGCCCATAAATACTAGCCAAAAAATGTAATAAATTTTCCTAAGGAGTTCATCAATCTTTAAAACAAAAAACTGCAAAGACAACCAACATAATAAGAAAAAAGTAAATGTTAAGTCAAATGATAAAAATTGCTATTTTTAAAAATCAAAATTTTTTTTGACAAATATTGTTCTCTCAGATGTATTTTCACAATTATCTTGCTTTGTTAAAGAGAGATTCTTGGTTTTTAGAGAATGGCATATGAAATTAAAATCTCAAGTAACAAATTGTTCACAAATAAGAAGCCTAATGGAGAAAGCAGACATTTAAAGTAGTGTCTCTATTATATGTATTAAGAAACTCGCTCAGGATAAAATTAACTATGAGTAAGGATTATAAATAAAAGCATATTTTAAAAACCAGAAAGGGTCCTAAATAGTTTTAATGATTAGTTCTGAGATTTCTTCATAAACATTAATAGGAACTTTAGAAAATTTTTGAAAGTAAAATTTAACAATATTTGTATAAAAAAAGTATCATGAAAAAATGGCTTACATCTGCCTAAAATTAGATAAAACAAAAGTGTAATTATTATAAGTTTACTGTAGTTATTTTAAATCTTTCTTCAATCCGTTAGCACCAGTGAATTTACTTGTGATTACGAAAATTCCTTTTTCTTCTTCAGCTCCAAATTAAATATTTTTGAAAATGTATATTAATCATCGCATTGTATAACTGCAATGTAAGGAGTGAAATTTTTTAAAAGGGCAGTTGCTCTTTTAAAAATATTATTTTTATCATATATTTATTCTAAAACTGTGCAATTAAAAACTTTTTCCCAATGAGTCTAAAATAATATAAAGAAATAAGACTACAACATTGACAAGATGTAATTTGCACTAGTCTATTTAAGCTACTATTTCATTGGTCAAAGAACATACATAGCTGGGTTTTAGCCCTATCACCTAAATGCCTATAAAAGGACCTTGAAGCAATATGCATCTCATACCTTTAGTCTTAAAGGAGAAGTTACAGTAAGTGCAGTGGTAGGGGCGGACATCTGTATGGGTTCGTATGTGTTTCTTTAGCATGCTAGGTTTCTTACAACGTATTCCACATTCTTCACAAATGTATTTTCCTCTTCCCCTGCCCCGGACATATACATACTCTTCATTTGACTTATATCTAATTTAAAGAAAAAATGAATAGAGAGATTGTCTTTGAGAAAATATGGATGATTAAAATTCAACCCAAAAATCAAACAAAGCACAACTTTCATACTCAACCAATAACAATTTTATGCATGTGTAAGTAACAGAATATTCCATCTCTTTACATCAACATTTAATATAGCTAATTCTAATCAAAAAGACTTATGCAATATTATACTTTGTTTTGTTTTAGAGGCAGAGACTTGCTCCGTTGCCCAGGCTGGAGCACAGTGGTGCGATCGTAGCTCACTTAAGCCTCAACCTCCCAGGCTCATATGATCCTCCTGCCTCAGCCTCTTGAATAGCTGGGACTACAGGAGCGCACCACTGCACTCCACTTCTGTGTGTAATTTTAAAATACTTCCCTGTTTCTACATCACTGGTTAAAATTTTTTCTTCATTGGTAAATTCAATCACAATAATTTTAAGTACTGAAATACTTTGGAGCTTCACTATGATTGGCTTTTACAATGTTTTTGTTCATAACAAAATACACAAAGATATCAAATAGGCAATGAATTCATCTGAGAGCAGATTCTCTAGGTCATTCCTTATTGTAAATCAATGTGAAACCCAAGGTTCACTCTAATAATTTAGTTTTTAGCTGCCTTCAAGGTCATACAGTATTTCCCAAACAGTCATCATTTCTCCATCAAAATAAATTTGACGTAATGCTAACATATTTTGCTATGGAGATTCTGTTAATAAGCTGAGAAACCCTGCAACATTGATATTAAATTGGCACTGAGCCTTTATTCACATGAAATCAAATGTACATTTAAAAAGTAAGTTTAAATGTACATTTAAAAAGTAAAATTTGTACTTGCCCTCCATCAAATATTTTAATTCTTCTTGGTTCACTTTTGATTAAGGAATTTTCTTTATCTTGCTCACTGTTAATTTCAGAGGCATCTTTATTGCTGAATTCAACTACTGTGGATTTTTGATTACCTAATGCTCTCTGAAAGGAAAAAAAGAGAGAAACTAATTTAATAAAACTGAAAATACAAACACGCTAATCTTACACTGGAAATTAAAACATGGCAGAGTATAGAGCATATGGTCAATGAAATGCATTTCAAAGTAGCAAAAGATTCAAAGGGCATTTGCTTTATCTCTTCCTTTATGAATCTGTCTCAATCACAGCAAACTGATAAATCTTCTGTTACTTAAAAATCCCACCACAGCTCACTGACATCCCCAAATAAAGGCTTTATAACTCCTAGACCATGGTATTTCATAAGTTTAACAGGAACTTTTTTTTAAGTAAATTAAATATTTTTTCTTCCATTTAACCAACCACTCAGAACACTACCATTTAAATACAGTTCTTAAAGAGTTTACTTTTGGAGAAGAAAAAGAGCTAGTCACCCCTTTTGGTAAAATAATGCCTCATACCCCCGAGAAACATCACTACATCTCCTTCAGCTTCAGTGCATTATAAGGTAAAGCAGAAGCCCCATTTCCCAATATTTTACTTTTTCTTCCTCCATTATTTTAAATCATAAATCTTTTTTGAGATGGGGTCTCACTATTGTCCAGGTTGGGGTGCAATAGTACAATCATAGCTTACTGCAGCCTCAAACTCGGGCTCAAGAGGTCCTCCCACCTCAGCCTCCTGAGTAGCTAGGATCACAGGCGTGAGCCACCACATCTGGCTACTTTTAAATTTTTTTGTAGAAATGGGAGTCTCACTATGTTGCAAAGGCTAGTCTAACTCCTGACCTCAAGTGATCCTCCCACCCCATCTACCCAAACTGCTGGGATTACAGGCATGAGCCACTATGCCCAGCTAAAACCGTAATTCTTTATAACTTCTCAAGTTTCCTGAATACTGGTGACTGTGAAACTCAGGTCTGGCCAAGAAGTTAGGTTTTGGCCTGATAACAAGTAAGTCTCTGGAAAAAGGTAAGGAAAATCAAAATAAAATGTATAAACAATGTGTGATTTTCCTGTAGGAACAATATAATAATACCACCTTGCGATTTTATGCTACCAGCCCTTTACCAGTATTTTATCTCACTTATCGTGCCATTCCATTCTCTCGGGTCCCTGTGAGGCAGGCAGCACAGGTGGACTATACATCCCAGTGAGGAAGGAGACTCTCGGGGTAAAGTTCCTCGTCCCAGGTCAAGTGTTGAGCAAAGGCTCAAACTCTCATCCTCTGGCTGAATCAACACAATGCACAACTTTTCCTATCAAGGATGTCTTTTATACAAACCTCTTAAGAAATTACATTGTCAAGTAGGCTGTGGTGCTGAGATAACTTAATAATCCTAAGTGATAAGAGAGCCTTGTTCATTGCAGAGAGGGGTCTGTGTGGTAACTTGGGAGGCCCATCCTTACACAGACAGGAGTAAAGAGAAGCTGCTGGCCCACATTCCTCAAAAAGGCACCAAGAAGAGCTACTGATGCAACGTCTCCTCTTTTCCTGGCAAACAGATCGACTTCCACATAATTTGGAATACATGCACACACCTTCCTTTGGCCGTATCCGTTTACCAGTAAACCCTGTTCCTTATTTTCTTTCCAATATCAAATTCCCCTTTATCTTTTGCTCACTTTCATACTATTAAATCTGGCTTCTAATTGCCAAAGTTATCAATGAGCTAAATACCAAAATCTGTCCTTACATGCTTGAGCACTCTACGTATTATATGCTGAAGGTGCCGTGTTTTGCCTAGAAATCCTTTTACTTCACAGCATCTGTCTGGTCTTTCCCATTGTGAATCATAAATGCATTAACTTTCGGGTTGTGGAAAACAGCCCGGTAATCCATCCTCCATAGCCCCTTCCTCACAGACTCAACTCTCCAGCGATGTGCACAGTCCAGATATGCCCATTTGCCTTTATCTTTATTTGACCTCTCTAACAACTCTCCTTAAATATCTTCCTCCATGTTTTGTGTGATGCCATTTTTTGCTCACATTTCTCCTTCCTCTATGAACAATCTCTTTCAGTTTCCACACAGAAGTGTGGACTTTCGTCATCCATTCAACCTTTTAAATAGCAGTGATCCCTAGGATCCAGTCTGGGCCCTCTCTTCTTTATATCCTGAGCAATCTCATAATTCACACGTATGCCCTAAAGAATCTCTACACTTACACCTGGAGCTGTCTCCTAAGCTCCAAATCTAGATAAGCATTTCCAGACATTTCTCCCAAGGCATCTGGTGTTCGAGGAGAGCCACTTCTCACAAGCACTTCAGGAACACACATGGTGTTTTATTTAAATTCTAACGATGAGGTCTTATCTTCCAAGATTTAGTAGATTTAGAGCCTGAGAACTTAATATTAATTCCACAGGTGGTTTGGACACAGCTTCCTTCTCTGAGAAAAGTATCACTGGTTCTCCACCATACATATGCTTTGGTTTTTACCTGTTTCTAACTTACAACACTTTCTAACCAATTAGAGTTCTTTAAATGAAACAAGTTTGTTCTCACTTCCATGTAATTTAGTGTATTATTAAATTTTTTTATTCTTGCCGGGTGTGATGGCCCAAACCTGTAATTCCAGCACTTTGGGAGACCGAAGTGGGTGACTCACCTGAGGTCAGGAGTTCGAGACCAGTCTGGCCAACATGGCGAAACACCATCTCTACCAAAAACACAAAAAATTAGCCAGGTGTGGTGGCGGGCACCAGTAATCCCAGCTACTTGGAAAGGCTAAAACAGGAGGATTGCTTGAACTGGAGAGGTAAAAGTTGCAGTGAGCTGAGATTGTGCATTGCACTCCAGCCTGGGTGACAGAGTGAGACTCTGTCTCAAAAAAAGAAAAAAAAAAAATTCTTCTTTGCCTGAAAAATTCCTATTTTTAAAACAAATTTGAACACTCAGCTAAAGCATCACCACCTTTGGAGTGTCTTTGTTGAATTCATCTCTCTTCCACCTACTAGCAATGTTAGAAAGTTCCTTCTTTAGAATTGTTCATACTTCTGTGGTAATATGATATGGCAAAATTTTCTTATTGACAGATCTGTAAATGTTTATGAACTTGTGTTGCATGCTTATAAATCTGTAGAGGTCAGATACTCCATTCTGAATATCCACACTCCAACGTGATATCCTTACCTATTTTTCTAATCAGGTAAATGAGTTTTTCACATTTTATAAAGCTGACAATTCTAATGAAACTGATTCCATAAATTACCCCAAATTATAGTTTCATGATCTTAAATTACTTTATAAATCTTGATCAAATCAACTTATCAAGTATACAAATGAATTATTTTGTGAAACTTCTCTCTAGTGCTAATGGTCCTCACAGCTACACTGGAAGAAAGTTGGAAAGGGCATGGCAGGGGAGTGGAGTCAGTATGTACGAAATGAGTCTAAATGGCTCTCTGCTTATATTTCAGAATGAAATGCAACTATCTTTGATCATCTTTACCAGTTTCCCTGCATTAGCAGGAACAAAGCATAACCATAATTTCCTCTCACTTAACAAGAAAAACAAAACCCTATTATAAGTAAAACATCAAAGTAAAACCATGAGTCTTTGCTCTGTACTACTAAGCAAAGACTTACATAGTTAGCTGAGGAAAAAAAGTGCTCAGGGCAGATTATTTCTAAGATCTTTCAAGATAGAATCACTGAGAGACTCCAGGTAACTCCTATCAGTGTAACTCCTGGGGTAAATATATCACCCTGTCTTTCAAATAAGACACCTAAAGCACAATTTGTCACTCAAAATTAAAATATTTCCAGTTAAAATATTTAAAGGTATCAAGACACGTTAAAACAAATTTGCACAAACCGTATCTGAAGATAAATTACATTTCAAGTACCTTGCTTAAGTTGCTTTTCCACTTGCTTGAATAGACCAATAAATCTGACTTGGAATGGGTAGTTACTGCTTGACAATATAGTGATTTTCCAGTGTTCTGTTTTGAATTAAGGAGAGAAAGTGCAACTTTTGTGGGCAAACCAAGTGGATTTGGATTACTGGAGCTTACTGTCCAATCAGTATAGGCTGAAGTTTTCTGGTCCTTCTGAGGCAAATGCAATGACTTCTGCCGTAAGAGATAACACCATGTAAAGTTGGTTGTAGTCTTCAGGCTAGGGAAAGCCAGCTGCTGGGTGTCCCTGATGCTAAACAGTGAAAGAGAAGGGACCGGCTGTTGACTTTGCTCTTGGATGTTCACTTTGTCATCTTGATTTTTAACCCCGGGAGACTTCCTTTCTTGGTTATTGTCCGTACATTTCAAAGGAGAAATAAGAGTATTTTCTGAAGGGACAGGTGAACTTCGAACTGTAAGAGTTAATGATGTGGATGACTTGATGTTTTCAAATTCCTGCAATTCACTTATAGGTTCTATAACGACAAACTTAGAGCATCCTGATAACGAATTATCAGACGGTAAAACATCTGTCAAATTAACGGCCTCACTACTAATTTCAGGTTGAGAAAAAACATCCTTTTCCAGTATTACACCATCCAGGGGCTCTGTAGTACAAACCTGCCTCACTAAAACAGGTTTCTTCTGTTTACTAGGTTCATTAGCTCTCGAACCCAAAGGCTCTAAAGGTCTCACATCTGTTGCACAAACAGCTCCATTTTCATCTTTGGCCCGCTTCTGGTGCTTTTCCATGGCAATGTCTAAACTATTTGCAGGGGAAAGCATCCTTTTACTCGAAGCTGAAGATTCTTGTTGAGGGGAAAGTCGACCAACAGATGTCTTCTGAGGTATGGGTGAGGATTCTGACAGAGAAGAATTTTGGCCCATCTCTGAAAGAACATTTTCACACACAAATTCCTTCTCTGGGTTTGGCAAAGCATTATGATGACCTTTTTGTAATGTTGGCACCGAATTTTGTTCTTCACTGATTGGCACTACACTATGATTAGCCTGGCAAATTGGCTGACTGGACAGATCCTGGGTCACTAGTATTTGTGGCAGGGACGTGAGTGCGGCAAAACAGTAAGCAGGAACATTACTCTGCAGACGTACAGGCAGCATGAATGACGACGGCACCTTCTGCACCTGACTTCCAAGGGGCCTGAGCTCTGGCGGTATCAGAGGATGCGAATTAGACATGGTATCGATTAATTTGGTTGGTAAACCTGCTGATGTCACACAACGATCTGTTGCAACTGGATCTGAAATAACTTGATTTGGCAAAGAAAGTGCAGGATTAGAAGAGCAAGACGGACCTGAAGTGAAAACCTGACAATGCAATTGGTATTTGGGAGCAAAGCAATCCTCACTTTTAGAAAACCCAGATAAAGTGGAACTGGCATCTGGTTTGCCACCCTGCGTAGACACTTGCAGAGACAGCTGTGCGCTCTGGTGGCTAAGGGGTGCGTGGATTTGATTTAACAAATTGATATCACAAAGCTGTTGAACGGGAAAGATGCTGGTAGAGCCAGGGTTTGACATTTCTGCCTGCAGATCCTTAACTTGAGTCTGAGAGTACAAAGTATGTGCAGAAAACTCAGCTAAAGATGTACTGGTGAGCTGAGGCCCCTGATACAGCACTGCGTTCACGCTGGGAAGAGCAGTATTTTGAAAAGATGTTGGGTTTACGGGAGACAGATGACTATCTGGAGCTATGTTTAAAGATATCTGCCGTACCAGTGGGCCTCTCCTTCTTTCTATGAGAGGCACGTGCCCAGTCACTCCCATTCGAGAAGGTGAAGACGGAGGCTGCGATTCAGTAAGCGGCGTCATCTGGGATGGGGTGATACTTCCACAATCGAATGATTTGCTTCTGAGATCAGAGACCTCCATCGACATCTGCGTGCAGTTTATCTGTTCTGATGCAGCACGCCTCATTTCCCGGTGACTTCCAGGAACATTCAGCGTATTCAAGCCAGCTGGGATCACAAGAAACTCAGCTTTATTTAGAAAATCGACTTTTGGGGAAGCCTCTGCTTTAGAAATGTCCTCTATGTCTAAAGAGGCTGAGAAACTCGAAGTGTGTGATAAACTGCTCTCCCTACTTAGACTCCTGGAGAGAGTGGAATCAAAGCTCGATTCTGTTGAGGAATGTTCTATCTCAGCCAGACGCAGCCTTTTCTTTTTGGGTGGCAGTTTCTCTGTTGGCAATTTTGACAAGGTTTCACTCCGCTGGGGCCAACTGAACTTCTCTGACTTTTCTTGATCGTGGCCTTGAGCTTCCAGGTCCCGATCTGGTTCTTCTGTGACCAAAATCTCTGGAACTTGGATGTTGTGCTGCCGGACAAGTCTTGAGGGCTGTCCTAACACATGTCGTTCACTTGGACTCTTTCTGGAGCTTTCCTGAAGTTCTCCTCTGAGGGCATCTGATGGTGCAAGCTGGTGAGGATGAGACCCGTCCCGAGAAGGGTGACCCTCCTCTTGGGAGATTCCTATCACTTTCAGAGACCCGGGCTTCCCTGTTCTATTCAGCTCCTGGAAGGACACTGGGGAGGCTCTTTCAAAAGGCTCAGGCTTGTCAAAGGAGTTGGGCCTGCTCAGGGAGTTGGTGTGCTGGATGACAGAGATCCCAGTCCTGTGTCTCTGCAGTTCTGTCTTGTCCTGGGCTGCCGAACTTATCTGCTGCTCCATGATGGTCGACAGCTTGGGATCCATGGTCTGCTCAGGGCCCCTGGCAACAAGCTGAATTTGGGAGTTTTGCAACTGTGTATTTTTATGCTGCTGGTCACCTCTTATGGTAACATTATGTTTAGACAAACTGGGAGCAGAGCCCAGAGCGTTCTGAAACTGCAGGCCTTCGGAGCCTTTTGGAGAAGTTCCACTTTCATTTTGCTGAAGTTCATCATCATCCCCAACACTTTTCATTTTCCTCCTTTTTCTTATCTGGGGCGTCTGTTCCCAGACGCCAGTGGACCCAGCCACTCTGTAGTGCAAAATCTGCGGCTGCGGACCACCAGGCACAGGGGCGTGCTCAGGTTCTCTTATGGCTACCTTTGTTTTTGGTCCATGTAACTCAGAACAGTAAAATTTCTTATGATTTTCAAAATTTTCCAGTTTCCTATACCTGTTTCTACAAGTTTCACACTCAAACATTGTCCCTCGCCCTTGGTGAGATTTCTTTTTTTCTGTATGTGGGCCTTGTGCCAATGCCTTGCTCCGCACAGACACAGTTTCACCAGAGGCATGGCATCCTTGGTGGCTCTCATCCAGGGACTGCCCAGTACCGAGAACATGACTTTCATTTGCTGAAGAGTCTTCTATGGCTGCTTGTCTGACAAGTGTACGAGGATGTCCACTCTGGGGTACAGGAGTGTTAGGTCCTGATACAAACACGTCGTCATAGAAGGCGCCAATTTTGTCATCAAATGACTGACTTCCTCTTAGTGGATGAGGAGGAGGTATTATATTTGCAGGTACTGCTGAATAACCTGTAGTCGGCATGGAATTACTCCTTGTGATAGGTAAACAGTCAAGCGAAGGTACAGACAGAAGAAACACTTGCTTTGATTTTTCAGTAGGGGTGAAAGGGGACTTCGGTATATCAGAGCTTGAACTTGTTCTCCGTCCCACTGGTTTTAAATCAAACTGAAACGAATCTTTAAATATGTATGATTTGGGGGAATCAATGCTTCCTCGTCTTGAGAGTGAAGTTCTCCGCGGCTTCACACTATCCAGTTGTTTGTCATCTACCAAGGCTTCATTGTCTGAGATAAGCTTCGATATCCGCTCCTCAAGTGTTTTTGTGGCCAAGGGTGGGCGCATCTGACCTGGTAAAAGCAATGCCTTCTCCCCTGTGGGCAGAGCAGAGGGTGCTGATGATGTGCTGACACGAGCTGTAGAGGGTCCGTTATTCCTTACTGAGTCTTGTTCTGTGCTGGGTAACGTTCTGGCAAAGGGAGTCGGTGAACTCACTGTTTGATCGGCACTTTCAGAACGTGAAAAGTAACCAGAATCTGTACTTCCTAAACTTCGAGGACTCAGGAGCTTCCCTTGCTGCTCTTGGGAGTAATCCGTAGCCTGCTGCCTTTGTAGCTGGGCGTGTACTGCTCCTACGTGAGAGTCTTGCTTTCCTTCCAGTGGATTCGTGTCCCCTTTCTGGTGGGACTTCTCATTAGTCTCCAACCTGGAGATGCCACCCTGGGACATGTTGGCTGAAAGTGACTGTACGTTTATCACCTGAAGGTCCTTTTGCTTTTGTGCACTAGAAAGTTCAGCCTTGGGATCCACGGCCTTTGGACTGTCAGTTCTTAAGGGGGACACAGTGACAGGGTGGACCACAACTTTCGGTAACTCTGTCACAGCTTGTGATTCTGAAGATTTGTCCTGTAGCAAAAAGTCACCTACCACATTTTCTGGACTGCTTGGAGTGAAGCCTGATTTTAGTAAAGTTTCAGCATTTGACGTCCTCTTTATTATGTGCACAGGCTGCAGCTCCATGGTGCCGAGGTCATGCTGTCTCTCATCAGTGGCACCTTCCTCTTCGCTCTCCCCACTGTCCTCTATGTCTGAATGAATGCTAAGTGCTTTGGGGGACTCATGGGACAAGAACAAGCCACCAGCATCTGGTTGCAAGACAAGACCCAGTTTGATAGTATGTGCATGGGATTTCTTGTGCTTATACAGATTACTTTTAGTCTTAAATGAAAATCCACAAGTCACACAGGGATAGGGTCGCTCTCCAGTGTGGGAGCGGATATGCTTTAAAAGCACACTAGGCTTTGCACATGCTCTATTGCAATACTCACAAATATATTTTCCTTGTTTTTTTGGCTTCTGATCTTTCAGAAGAAGATTGCACATTTGCTCTACGCTTTGATTAACAACAGAGGCAACATGGGTTGAATTATAGACTGGCGTGGGGGGCGACTGTGTAGAATTGGCTGGACTTATTGACAAAGGTGAAGCAGAATCCATTTGCTGGTTTTGAGGAGTAACCTGAGATCTACTGGAAGGTGAGGCTAGGCCTACAGATGATGTCCCTCCTATATTATAAACCTGTTCAAGTTTGGCATTCTCTTGATTTTGCAGATTCATCAGTGATCCTGTGAAACCTGAACACCCTGGAAGCTGCTGATTATGTTGGTTGGATTTGGGAACAAAGTGTTCATGTTGATGATACAAATGAGAAGCTGACTGCACTGTCCCTTGCTCGTTCTTCTGAGCAGCAGACACATGGACTGTGTACGAGGTACAAGAAGACTGTGATTCAGCAATCAGTTCCTGTGAAGTTTGATTTGGGGCATCCATTGAACTGTTTTTCAATTTGGAAGGGGATCGTGCAGTCTTATTTGGCCTCAGTTTTTCTGTCTTAATTGCACAAGATGAGCCCTTTTGTGACAAGGTGCTCAGTTCTGGCTCCATTGCTTTCAGTAAGACATCAAATGCGGTGTTTGTATAGGAGGGGGATGTAGTGCCACAAGAAGAGATGCATTCACTATTGTCAGTCCTGGTTTTACTTGACAAGGAATTCGAGTCACATTGTTCATCGAGGACACTGAATTTGGCAGGGTCAGTGCCTTCGGATCTCCATCTACGCAGTTCAGATGAATGCTGCAGAAACAAGGGCTTCTTTGGGGAGACTGATTCTTCAGATTTTGAGGCTTCAGCAATTATTCCCAGTGTTTCTCCATTTTGTTTGATAAACTGCTTCCCATTTTTTACAGGAATATAATTCTGTTTCTTCTGAGACTCTGACGCACTATGAAAAACGGTGAAAGATGACTCTTCTGTATTTTGTTTATGTTTTGCCTGAAGAGGATTTCTCAGTGGGGATTTTGGTATTTTTTTCAGGTGATTCTCAGCTACTATCTTTTTGCGTTTCACACCTTTAAGGGATTCCGAAGTTCCTTTAACACCAGCCTCTAAGATTTCTGTTAAAAAAAAAAAAAAAAAAAAAAAAAAAACTATTGGTAACATTGTACATACACCAACTATAATTTGTTGAAAATTAAGATTACTATCATTACGGTAACCGAAGAAAGTAGTTTAAGGAAAGTCTATTTTTTAAATAAAACTGTACTTCTGTGTTCCAGAAACTGAAAAATGTTACCAATCAAAATCTACTGAAACACTCATGCAAAGACCTAAGTGTGCATTTCTGGAATGCTTCTGTTCCTTTCTTGAAGAATCAACATCCTGGAATCAGATCTTTCAGAACTGAATTATCTTTTCCCTTGTCACTCTAACCCTCAAACAGTGCTTCACAGGGCTAAAGAAAGTGGTGACTAACAAGAAGTCTTGAGCTTGTCTGACAGCACTGCAGATAAGGAAACAGCTTATTAGAATTCCCTATGCTTGCAACAAAACTGGCTGACTGGCTGAAACTGTTTGGAATAGCATGGCTGACCGGGACCTGTACAGAACAGACTTACTTGCCAGATGACCGACCTTCTGACATCACAGCCCGTATTTTCACCACGGGTTTCACACCGACTCCCTCTGAATTTGCAACCCATGAAGAAGCACGAAGAGATAACTGTGCCTGCTCAAGGGACTTTCCAAACCTCCCCACCCTTTCCAGCAATCATCAATCAACCCCAAAACCCCTCCTCTAGCATCCCTTCCTTTTAGATACTGCTTTAAGTTGGTGAGGGAAGACAGATTTGAGCATCTCCTGCATGGCTGACTTGTCATTAACCTTTCTCTCTATAAAAATCCAGTGATTCAGTGTTTGGCTTTTCATTGTGTGCAGGCAAATGGATCTAGATTGGTTTGGTAACAATACCTGACCGTCTACACAACGGTCTGAGAAGGCTGGCCAACAAAGAAGAAAATTCAACCCTCTCATGCTGAGTACTTGTCTTATCTCATTAAGGATCTTTAAAAAAGAAACTTTTCAGCAAACTTATAAATATGCAAAACTGATATTCTTCATGAGAAAAAGGCCTGCTGATATAATTTTTATGGAAGACCATAGTCAGGACCGCCACGAAATATTGCTGATATGGCAATTGTGTCAATGAATAAAAAATTATAGGGAGGCTGAGGCGGGTGGATCACGAGATCAAGAGATCGAGACCATCCTGGTCAACATGGTGAAACCCCGTCTCTACTAAAAATACAAAAAATTAGCTGGGCATGGTGGCGCATGCCTGTAATCCCAGCTACTCAGGAGGCTGAGGCCGGAGAATTGTCTGAACCCAGGAGGCGGAGGTTTCGGTGAGCCGAGCTCGCGTCATTGCACTCCAGCCTGGGTAACAAAAGGGAAACTCCATTTCAAAAAAAAAAAGAAGAAAATTATAAAATTAAAACAGGATTTATCCTATTTTAAAATGCTGGGTGCTTACAACTTTTTGTTTTCCACTGCAGGATAGTAAGAATCTTGCAGGAGTGGGGAAAGATGGCACGGTAGAAGCAACTCAGGATTGCAGCTCTCAGTGAGGGCACAGAGGGTGAATGCAAGCCGCATTTCCAAATGGATCTTTGTTGCCCACAGAACAGGGAAATTCCCAGGTGTAGGAGAAACACAGGATGCCAGCACAGATGTTTTGGCTGGTGCGGCCGTTTAGGCCAGCGCCGCAGCACAGCGGCACTCCACACAAAACGCACTGGTCTGGGTGCCCTGTTAAACTGGCAATTTGAGATTTGGGAGGGCGGATTAGCATATCCATCTAATTAAACGGGACGTGGACACCGAGCCAGGACAGGAGATTCCCAGGAAGTGACGTTTGAGCCGGTGCAGTCACTGCACAGGAAATCACACAGATCCCGGTGCCCTATCAGCAGGTGACTGAAACACCTGGGAGAGAGTCAACCGTTCAACTTAAAAAAAAAAAAAAGAGGGCTCTGAGGCAGGGAGCCAGGTGATCAGGCTCGGCGGGTCCCACCCCACAGGGACAAACAAAACGGCGATTAGAAACGCTCGGGGTTGAGAGTTTCACTGAGGGCACAGCTGAACCCAGGACGGTGCAGCTCGGTGGGGGAGGGGAGACCGCCATTACCGAGGCATACTGCCCCTACTGAGGTACACTGCCATTGCTGACGCAGCCTGCCATTGCCGAGGCAACCCGCCATAACAGAGAGAGTCCGCCAATACAGAGGCGGGCCACCATCACCACAGCAGTTTTAACCACACCCATCTAAGCAGGACTACAGGGAATTACACTCAGCAGCAGGGTGGAGCCCACGGCAACAGAGCAGAGCCCATAACAGCAGGGTGGAGCCCAGGGCAACAAGGCAAAGCCCACAGCAGCAGGGAGGAGCCCATGGCAGCGGAGCCCAGGGCAGCAGGACGGAGCCCACGCAGCAGGGCAGAGCCCACAGCAGCAGGACGGAGCCTCCGCAGGCAAATAGTGACTAGACTGCCTCCTAGCTGGGTAGGACAGTGCAACGGATACTCATAAAGAAAGCCCTAACTCCCCAAGACAGAGCATCTGAGGAACAAAAGGGGTTTTATGAGTTCTGCTGCAGCAGACTTAAACGTATGTGACTAACAGACCTGAATGAACAACGGAGCTCACAGCTCAGCACTTGAGCTCCTATGAAGTAAAGACCGTCTCCTCAAGCAGCTCCCTGACCCCCGTATATCCAAAGAGTCACCTCAAAAAGGACTGATCAGACTGACATTTGGCGGGCATCATTCTGGGACAAAAATAGCAGAAGAAGAAACCGGTAGCATCCCTCACTGCTCTGCAGCTGCTACAGGTGCACCCCAGACAAGCAGGGCCTGGAGTGGACCTCAGCAGTCTTACAGCAGAGGGGCTAGACTGTTAGAAGGAAAACTAAGAAACAGAAATACTTCATCATCAACAATCTGGGCGTCCACTCAGAGACCAGTCGAAAAGTCAGCAACTACTCAGACGACAGGTGAATAAATCCACAAAGATGGGAAGAAACCAGCACAAAAAGGAGGAAAACACCCGAAACCAGAACACCTCGCCTCCTACAAGGGACCATAACTCCTCACCAGCAAGGGAACAAAGCTGGATGGAGAGTGAGTGTGACGAAATGACGGAATCAGACTTCAGAAGGTGGGTAATGAGAAACTTCTGTGAGCTAAAAGAACATGTTCTAAATCAATGCAAAGAAATTAAGAACCTTGAAAAAGGATTCAAGGAAATGATAACAAGAATGGACAACTTAGAGAGGAATATGAATGAATTGAAGGAGCTGAAAAACACAACACGAGAACTTGGCAAAGCATGCACAAGTTTCAACAGCCAAATTGACCAAGCAGAAGAAAGAATATCAGAAGTCGAAGATCAACTCAATGAAATAAAACAAGAAACCAAGATTAGAGAACAAAGCGCAAAAAGGAATGAACAAAGTCTCCAAGAAATGTGGGACTATTTGAAGAGACCTAATCTATGTTTGATAGGTGTACCAGAATGTGACGAAAAGAATGAATCCAAGCTGGAAAATACTCTTCAGGATATTATCCAGGAAAATTTCCCCAACCTAGCAAGACAGCCCAACATCCAAGTCCAGGAAATACAGAGAACACCACAAAGATATTCTGCAAGAAGAGCAACCCCAAGGCACATAATCGTCAGATTCACCAGGGTTGAAATGAAGGAGAAAATGCTAAAGGCAGCCAGAGAGAAAGGTCGGGTCACCCACAAAGGGAAGCCCATCAGACTCACAGCAGATCTCTTGGCAGAAACTCTACAAGCCAGAAGAGAGTGGGGGCCAATATTCAACATCCTTAAAGAAAAGAACTTTCAACCCAGAATTTCATATCCAGCCAAACTGAGCTTCAGAAGTGAAGGAAAAATAAAATCCTTTGGGAACAAGCAAGTACTCAGAGATTTTGTCACCACCAGGCCTGCTTTACAAGAGCTCCTGAAAGAGGAACTACACATAGAAAGGAACAACCAGTACCAGCCATTCTAAAATCACACTAAATGCTAAAGAGCATCAACATAATGAAGAATCTACAACAACGAACGGGCAAAACAGCCAGCTAGCATCAAAATGGCAGTATCAAATTCACACATAACAATATTAACCCTAAATGTAAATGGGCTAAATGCACCGATCAAAAGACACGGACTGGCAAATTGGATAAAAAGCCAAAACCCATCAGTGTGCTGTATCCAGGAAACCCATCTCACATGCAAGGATACACAAAGACTCAAAATAAAGGGATGGAGGAAGATTTACCAAGCAAATGGAGAGCAAAAAAAGCAGGAGTTGCAATTCTCGTGTCTGATAAAATAGACTTTAAAGCAACAAAGATCAAAAGAGACAAAGAAGGCCATTACATAATGGTAAAAGGACTGATACAACAAGAAGAGCTAATGATCCTAAATATATATGCACCCAATACAGGAGCACCCAGATATATAAGGCAAGTTCTTAACGACTTACAAAGAGACTTAGACTCCCACACAATAATAGTGGGAGACTTTAACACTCCACTGTCAATATTAGACAGATCAACCAGACAGAAAATCAACAAGGATATCCAGGGCTTGAACTCAGACCTGGAACAAGCAAACCTGATAGACATTTACAGAACTCTCCACCCCAAATCCACAGAACATACATTCTTCTCAGCACCACATCACACCTACTCGAAAACTGACCACATAATTGGAAGTAAAGCACTGCTCAGCAAATGCATAACAACTGAAATCATAACAAACAGTCTCTCAGACCATAGTGCAATCAAGTTCGAACTCAGAATTCAGAAACCAACTCAGAACTGCACAGCTTCATGGAAACTGAACAATTGGCTCTTGAATGTTGATTGAATAAACAATGAAATAAAGGCAGAAATAAAGAAGTTCTTCGAAAACAACGAGAACGAAGACACAACATACCAGAATCTCTGGGACACATTTAAAGCAGTCTCCAGAGGAAAATATATAGCAATAAGTGCCCATATGAGGAGAATGGAGAGATCCAAAATTGACACCCTATCGTCAAA